TGGAAGCGGAAGTCCAGAGAGCGCATAATCCGCTCGCCGGAAGCTGCGCGCTGAAGAACTCACGCAAGGAGACCAGATCTGTTACCCCGCGGCCTTCACGCCATTCCTGTTGCACTTCATTTGCTCTGATTGTCTTGTACTATAAAATACATATATATATATATTTCTGAAATCAGGATACGGCTTACAACCGATGGCGTCAATGTATCTGGCAACTTTTTTTCTTCTTCTTAGTGGTACCGTTTAAAAATGGTCCGCCTTATAACTGACAGCGTCTTGAATCTGATGAGACGCAGTAATCCAGGCGTTTACAGCCTTTCTCTGTGAAGCCCTCTGGCGCTCTGTGGGAAGTTTAGAGGAAATGAGAGTAGGCCCAGCATTTCAGTCCTCGGCTGCTTTAGGGAGCAGTCTGGGGTGATGTATCCCACCGGCGCTTCAGGCCCCCTGGGAGGCGGCAGGGCGGGTGACGTGGGTGACGCGGCCCCTCCGCCTCGCAGCGGGCGCGGACCCCACCTTCGTGGCCTCACCCAGCTCCCGCGGCCCGTTCCTGAGGTCACGTCGCGAGAACCCGGCTTGGATTCCAGGCTTTCGCTGGCGGGAAAAAGTTTTCACCTTAGAAGCGAGGAATCATTCTGGATCCTTCCTCCAAAGGGCGAAACTTCCAGACCCAGGCCAGGGAGCACTCGGGAAACTCCCGCTTCTCACTTGATTCCTGACAGGACCGGCTCAAGTTCCTGCTGCTGATGCGGCCGCCAGGCGGGCGGGCAGGTGGAGGTTGCGAAGGCCCCTCGCCCGCCTCTCACTCCTCACTCGGAGCCCTGGGGCGGAGTCGGCTCTCTGGACCCGCCCCCTTCCCCCCATCCCCGCTCAGGGGGTGTCTCGACGCTCACTCAGCCTGGTCCTCTGACCACTGCCGCTCACGTGGCCCGGCGGCCTCGCGGGCTCATTCCTCATCTTTGCGCCATAATCTCCGCCCTCCGCTTTAGAGCCCCGCCCCACGGCTTGGCGCAGGCCCCGCCCCTTCCCATCCTCGGGGCGGCCGGAGGGGCCCAGGTCAGGATGGCCGTGAACCAGAGCCACACGGAGAACCGCCGAGCGGCCTTAATCCCTCAGGGTGAAAGGTGCCAGAGGGGAAGCCAGGGGCCTGTCAGAGGAGGGAGGGGGCAAAGCGGGCAACGCTGGCCGCGGGCAAACTCTCAGCGAATCAGGGACTTTCCCGCCTTTTCCGGCGCCTCACGCTTAGCTCCGCCTCCTACGTTGGTGCGCGTGCGCATGCGCGTGCACCGCCTGACGCCTGTTACGCGATGTGGAGGTGGCTGGAGCGGGAGCCGGAGCGTGTGGGCTTCTGTGTGTGTTGGGCCGCAGCGCTCTTCGGGGTGAGTTAGGACGCGGCGGGAGCGCCGGGATAGAGAGACAGAGGGGTGCGCGTTGTCGCCTCAGAAGAAAGGTGAGAACGGCCTGGAGGTAGCGGGAGCTGGCGACCTTTGTAGGGTACCAGCTGTGGCGTGCCCTGCCCCCCACTCCGGGGAACAAGGCCCTGGACTTGAGGCGGAAGAGGCATGTGTGTGGAAAATTCTAGAAAGATCCCAAACTATCCGGGGCCTCTCCTCGCCATCAGAACTTCCCAGAGCCCCCTCCTTGGCCTCAGCCAGGGAGAAGCTTGCCCGTTATGGAGAAGATCGGGACCAAAGAAGAGCCGCTTAGGAAGAATGGCGCTCCCTGGGCATCCCTGGGCGCTTTGAGGTTTGCACCAGTGGCTTTGTGCAGTGCCTGCTCCCCCCTCCTCTGGCCACAGTTGGATTCAGTCTGGAGGGAGTCGGTTTTTCCCTCCCCACCTCATGCCTCGACTCCCCTCCTTTAATTACCCGGCCCCCAGTTTCTCAGAGTCCGGCTTTCTCCGGGCCAAGCTCCTCTTAGTCATGCTCCTCTCTGCTGCGGTGGCCTGGCAGAGCGGCCCTGAACCCCAGTGCTGTGCTCACGTGAGACTGAGCCCACCTACGTCGCTTGGAATGCATTTGTCAGGAAGACCCATTAAGACAGTTCCAGATGCTGATGTCCACATCTTTTTTATATGCTTCCTTCTCCCGACTATTTTCTTGGCAGATTTACACGGGCCGCCAAGGCTGTGCGTTCTGCCTTGCTCCCAAAGGACCTCTAGCCTTTCATTTTTGTAGTAGGAGATGATTGCTCACACTCTGACCGAGATGTCTCTGTGCACACTGGCCCAGGGCACTTTGTCTTGTGTGCCTGTGACACTGTGCCACGAAGCACTTCTGATCTGGCATTTGGGTGTCTTCTCACTCCGACTACCTACCGGTTTGTCTCTGCTTTTCTGTTTGTGCGTGGAAGGCAGGGAAGGAAACGTGGTTTTTTGTGTGTGTGTGTGTGTGTGTGTGTGTTTTAATTATGACAAGCCAGTTTTATGGTCTTTTGAATTACCTCCATGCTCTTGAATATTTAATCATAGCCAAGCACTGTTCTAAGAATTTTATACTTAAAACCACTTTGTTCACAATGAGGATCAGTAGTATTTCCCTCATTTCACAGGTGGAAATTGAAACCAAAAAAAAAAGTAATTTGCCTTGGGTTATATGGCCAGTGCCATGTGTGAGAGCTTTAATTTGGGTTTCAGTTTAGGTACTGTACATCAACTCCTCTACTCCTGCTGTCCCTAAAAAGTAAAAGGACTAATTCTGTTTTCTGCTCATCAAAGAAGGCCCTGCCAGGGCTGTGGCTTCCTCAATAGAAACTACTTTAAAAAAATATCTTGAGAGGAAGAAGGTTGGTTATAGTTTGACTTCTGCTTGTTCACAATGTGCACTTGAGAACTTCACGGCTTCACTGTGTTTTGTGGAGACGTTTTTCCCATCCCAGCTGAGAAATCCCAAATGTAATGGCCAGACTCTCCTAGTAAAAAGGAAAGACATTGAGCATTTAAAACAACTCATGTTCTAAAACTTGTGCAGTTAATATCATATGTATTTATTGTAGAAATATTAGAAAAAAAGTTTAAATTACCCCAGCTTCCAACATCTGGTGCTGTTTACATTTTGTTGTGTATCCTTTTGCACTTTTCCCTATGGAAAAATACTCCCCCCCAACTGCTTTGCAACTTGTTTTTCTCATTTACCAATATATTGAAAATGCTTTCCAGTATCAATATCTACATTATTATTTTCAGTGGCTAATATTCTAGTATGCATAAATCTTTGCTCAAACCCCTCTCTAGGATATTCTGGTTTTAATTTGTCATTGCCATTGTGAGTGATGCTGCAGTGAACATAGGAATGCAGATAGCTCTTTGATATCCTGTTTTCACTTCCTTTGGATATATACCCAGAAGTGGGATTGCTGAATCATATTGTAGTTCTATATATATTACATTGATGATTTTTTTTTTTAATGTATCTTTATTGATTTCAGAGAGAGGAAGGGAGAGGGAGAGAGAGAGATAGAAACATCAATGATGAGAGAGTCATTGATTGAGCCCGCAACCCGGGCATGTGCCCTGACCGGGAATCGAACCCCGATCGCCTGGATCCTAGGTCAACACTCAACCGCTGAGCCATGCCCGGCCGGGCACATTGATGATTTTTATGTGTTGAACCATCCTTGCATTCCAGGAACAAATCCCACTTGGTAGTGGTGTATAATCCTTTTAATGTGCTGTTATATTCAGTTAGTAGTAGTTTGTTGAGAATTTCTGCATCAGGATTTTTCAGAGATATTGATCTGTAGTTTTTTCTTGATTAAACATTTTTCTAGTTGCTGTAAGCTTTTGATTAGATTCTAGAGTTCTGGATTTTTGGCATTCTCTATTCCTCTATTTTTGATGACTCCCTATATTTTCACAGTCTTTTAAAAAGCCATTTTTTATATACTACCACCACTTTAGTTCTAGTTCTTATTACCTCACGTCAGGACTATTTTTGGAGCTCTAAACTAGCCCCTGGATATACCACCACCTCCTTGATCATGTGACTGCCCAGCTGAGACAGCTGCAGCTCACAATTCCTCTTTGCTTAGCAAATGATATCTCTAAGCTCTAGTGCCAACATGACGTTCCATTTTTATCTCACTGTTCCTCCCAATTTTACTTCCACACTGTTTTTTAAAAAAAATATGTTTTTTATTGCTTTTAGGGAGAGAATGAGAAACATCAATGTGAGAGAGAAACATCTACCAGTTGCCTCCCGTAGGTGCCCCATCCAGTAATTGAACTCACAACCTAGGTATGTGCCCTGACTGTAATCGAACCAGTGACCTTTTGGCTTATGGGACAATGCTCCAACCAACAGAGCCACACTGATCAGGGCCTTCTACACTGTTGTGATGAATCCACATAAGTAGGCTGCTTCCAAATATGTAGTTTGCCTTCTGCATACCTCTACTAATGCCGCTCCTGCACCCTCAGTAATGCTGTTTGATTCTCATCAGAATTGTACCCTACCTTCACAACCCTGCCCACTGAAACACTATTCATTCTGCAGTGGCCAGGTAACTTAGCTGATTAGAGCATTGTCTCAAGGTTGTGGGTTCGATCCCTGGTCAGGGCACATTCAAGAATCAATGCATAAATAAGTGAAACAACAATGTTTCTCTTTCTCTTTCCTTTTCTCTCTCTCTCTCTCTAAAAAATCGCTAGAAAAAAGATGTTGAAACACTATTCACCCCTTAAGAATAAGCTCATATTTCAATCTTTCTTTAAAGTCATTACTGATTACTTCAACCAAAACTAACCTCTCCTTCCACTTAGTTGCCGTGACATTTTTGTGCCATGTATGTGATGTATGTCATATTGCTTGTGTTATGACCTATATTCATGTTTTCATTTGCTCATTCTTTCAATAAATATTTAGTAGCACCCACTGTTTGCTAAGACTGTAGTGGCAAAGAAGGCAAGCATTGTCCCTAATGACCATTAGAAAAGACATTGAACAAATCCACACCTATAATAGTTACTAAGAAAAAACCCCCAATAGGATTCTGTGAGTGAGAGTAGGATGAATCCAAGTTTTTCAGCTTAAGAGTGAGGGGAGCCCTGGCTGGTTTTGCTCAGTGGTTAGAGCGTTGACCCACGGACTGAAGAGTCCCGGGTTTTGTTCCAATCAGGAACGCATACCTTGGCTGCAGGCTTGATCCTTGGCCCTGGTTGGGAAATGTGCGGGAGGCAATCGGTTGATGGGTCTCTCTCACATTGATGTTTCTCTCTCTCTCTCCCTTCCACTCTGTCTGAAAAGCAATGGAAAAAATATCCTCGGGTGAGGATTAAAAAAAAAGGGAGAACATGAAAGGCAAAGAGAGTAACATGTCAGGATTCTGGAACACTCTGCATGCCTTACCTTCTTTAACGTTTCCATTAGCACAGTGCTTGATAGTTACTGCACAAGAAGTATAAGAATTAATGCATAAACAGTAAGAATACAAGTAGCTTTATAAGAAAAAGAATCTAGCCCTGGCCCTGTGGCTCAGTTGGTTGAGCATCGTCTGGCTCACCGAAAGGCTGCTGGTTCAATTCCTGCTCAGTGCACATACCTAGGTTGCGGGTTCCATCCCCTGTAGGGGGCGTGCAGGAGGTAACTAACTGAGGTTTCGCTCTCACGTTGATATTTCTCTCTCTTCCTCTCTCTAAAAAAATCAATGTTGGAAAAAAATCTTAAAAAATGATACAAGAAAAAAAAATGATACAAGATTTCTGACTGATTTAAATAAATGCAATCGAAATTTAAAAAGAGAAAGAATCCAGAGATAAAGAGGGAGAAGAATAAGTGTGAATTGTCAGAGAATAAAGGCATTTAAATTCATTTTATGTCAATGAATAGTAATAGTAACAATAGCTAACATTTATTGAGTGCTTGTCCAGGCTAGGAACTGTGCCAAGAGCTTTATGTTTGTCACTTTATGTAACTTCTAAATTGTGTGCTCTCTGCCCTTTCTTTTCTGCAGTGTTTTGAATCAGTGTCATGATGTGAACCTCTCCTTCCTACAGCAACCAAGGGGATCCAATCTCTTTAGTGGTACAAAGAATGGAACGCTGTTTCTCACTTCATACCGGGTAATTTCTATTTCTATTTCTACTTCTACTTTGATCTGATTAACTCTGCATTTGTTTTCCTTAAAATGGAGAGAGGTTAACCATTCAGTTTCAAAGTGTTTTAAAACATTTGCACTTTGAGGTTTTTCATGTTGAAGAATGATGGAAGAAAATGGGTGATGCTTCTCAATTAGGCCAGGATGCCAAAACAGTCTTACCCTTTGAATTGCTTTTTATGTCTCAACCCATGGACAAATTGCATTCCTTTTCCAAAGTTTCTTTCCTCTCTTAGGTGATCTTTGTGACTTCACGCTCAGTCAATGATCCCATGTGTTCTTTTATGATGCCATTTGATTTGATGAGTAACTGCACTGTTGAACAACCAGTGTTTGCCCCCAACTACATTAAAGGAACTGTTGAGGCAGCTCCAGATGGTAAGTGTTTACACTCAGAAGTGTATTTTTTTCTCAAAAGCTTCCAGAAGTTTAAGATCAGACTTGCCATGTTGGAATTCAAACAAAAGAAAGCTGCCCTGCTTCTTTGGGTAATGCTTCTGTCAGTGTTTGCGGTGGTCCTTCAGTTACCAGCTGTGCCAGCCTGCCTCTTAGTGAATGTGTGCCATTTCTTCCTCCAGGTGGCTGGGAAGGACAGGCTACTTTTAAATTAGCCTTCAGAAAAGGAGGTGCCATCCAGTTTTTCCAGTTGATGATGAGAGCTTCCTCTGCTGGTGAGCAATAATGATAAAACTATTAAGCACTTTGGGCTTTTGAGGCTTTTGAATTGAAGTAGGACTGTTAGTTACCCAGTTAAGATTTTCTGGTCTCTGTGAGTAGGCAGTTGGTAGTTGCACATGTATTCAGCAAGCATTTCCTGAACCTACCTACTATGTGCCAAGTACAGTACTGCCTGCTGGGAAAACAAAGATTATTCAGTCTCTCCCTGTCCAGAAGGAGTTTGCAGTCTAGTGGGAGCTTCAGTCAGACACCTGAATGACTAATTGTACCTGATAATCTTTTGTCCATCTAAATGCTGGTCTCAGATATCATTGACTAGTCTCTTTTCACATTAGGGAGCCCCGGTTGCCTTAGCTCCTCTTCTCCTGATATGTCTTACTGTCGTTTCTTTTCTCTTGCTTTGCCTTTGTTTTTCTTAGGCTTGAAGGAAGAGGTACTGTCAAACCTTATAGCACTGCTCTAATGGATGTACCGGAGAATTCTTTAAAATTTTGACTACAAATAATTTTTATGATATATTTTTGTTCAGTCTAGCCTCACTCCATGATCTTCACCTTTTTTTAATTAAATTTTTTATTTATTGATTTTTTTAGAGAGAGAAAGGGAAAGAGAGAGAGAAACATCATTTGTTGTTCCACTTATTCATGGGCTTACTGGTTGATTCTTGTATGTGCCCTGACCGGGGATCAAACCCAGAACCTTGGTGTATGCCCTGAACAACTGAGCCACCCAACCAGGGCCCAATCTCTCACATTTTGTACTCCAATCCTACTGGACTTATTTGTCCCTTGTTCTCTCATCTCTGAGCCTTCATGATATTTCCTCTTTCTGGAATGCTCTTTCCCTTTTTCCCTTGCCTTCCACCCCCAACTTCAAACTAGTTGAGATGAACACAGTCTAGTAGAGACAGACATGTGCAAATATGTTATTTTACATCATGTGATGTAATAGAGATGTGGGCAAAGTGCTAGGACACACAGAAGGATGGAATGAAGTTTCTAGCTTAGAAGACTAACTGGATCATGATGTTATAAACCATGGTCAAGAATATAAGAGACCGTCTAAGTTGGAGAGGAAATGAGTTTAATTTTAGACCTAGTAATACTAGCTAACATTTATTCAATGCTTACCGTGTACTGAAGTGTTTCCAAGCCCTTTACATGTGTCTATTTAATCCTCACAAAAACCTTATGATGTAGGTACTAATATTATCCCTGATTTCTGGCTGGGGAAACTGAGTCAGTGATGGTTACATAATTTCCCAAAACTATACAGTTAGTAAGTAATGGAGCTGGACTTTTGAATCCTAAACCTACTCTTTCTCTCTTATTAAACATTTTATTTTGGAAAAAAAAATTATCAAAAATTTGCAAGTATATTACAATGAACTCCCATGGACTCTTCACCTAGATTCACCCATTAACATTTTCCCACATTTGCTTTATCTTTTTTTTTGGCTTTTGTTTTTTTTTAAATATTTGGAAGTAAGTCACAAAGATCGTTTCCTTCATTCCTAAAAATTCGAATGTGTATTTCCTAAGAATAAGGGCATGCTCTTATTTAGTCATTGTACTTATCAAATTCAGAAAATTTAACCTTGAAGCAATACTTTTATTTAACATATAGTTTATTTTCAAATCCAAATGATTGGTCCATTACTGTTTCTAATTCTAATAACACTTTTCCCAACACAGGTTCTAATCCTGGATCATACATTGAATTTAGTTATCTTATATCTTTGTTCTCCTTTAATCTGGACTCAGCCTTTCTTTGTCTTTCATGACATTGAAATTATAAAACGAGTACAGGCTTATTGTCTTGTACAATGTCTCTTAATTTGGGTCTGTCTGATCCCTTATGATTATATTCAGATTGAATTTTGGCAAGAATACTATATAAGGAATGTTATATCCTTTTGAGCCTACACTCTTAACCTCTGTACAGGTGTGAGGTACATGGGAATGCTAGAAGCCAGTGGACATGCAGCGCAGAGCTCCAGAGATGAACTGTATCTAGGGACTGATTTGGAAATCTTCATCACACCTGTCATCTCTGGAGCCATGTGATTGATGGGCTCATTCAGTGACTTAAGGATGGTATTCCAAGGGTCCTCAACATTTAAGGAATAGGCAAGGCGGAGTGACCTGTAATGAAGATTGAGAAGGGTAAACTGAGAGATAGGAGGAGAACCAAGTGAGTTTATTATCCCAGAAGTCGAGAGAGGAGAAAGTTTCAAGCAATACAGAATGGTCATCTGTAGAAACATTTGGTAAGATGAAGACAAAAATGTGCATAGTGTGTGGAAACTTGAGTTTGCTGGTCTTAGCAAGGGAGATTTCAGTGAAACACTGGAGAAGAAAGGTGGCTTAAGGGCCATATTATAGGAAGCTGAGGAGTAAGACAATTTTTTAAATTTACCTCTATTGATACAGTTAAGGAGTTAAGGTAGATAGAAAGGTTAAGGAGTTCACAAGCTGTAATCAGTCCACAGCTCTTTATGATCCAGAAGGCAGGGAGATCTGGAAGCCTGACACTGAATAACAGGGTGTCCTAACAGACAGGTGGAGTACAGCTATGGGGAACCCAGGGTAAGGGGACCCTTGGAAGTCCCGTTTCTCTTTGCTTCAGATGTCTGGGGAACTTAGGGCAATTGCATACTGGATCTTGAATTCCTTCTTAATTTTTGGCCTCACAGTACTCAGGGGCGCTTGTTTTTAGGATTATAGGCTAAGGGTGAGGCAACTTTTGGGGATCCTCTTTGTGCTCCTGTTGTGATCTGTTCCTTGGCCTGCAAATGTAGGCAGTTGCACAGCTACTTAGAAGGATTTAGGCAACTTATGTGAACTTGTCCCAGTGTCTGGAACTGTTCTGGGTCCAATGTATCTTGGCTTAGGTGTGGCTACCTACCCCTGCTCCTTTGGCAAGAGTCAGGGCTTGTGAGATGGGCTTCCTTGAGGCCCTTGGAATTAATTACCCGTCATGCTTCATGATCTGATTTATTGAAGATTCCCTTCCCCTCTGCAGGGTGGATTTGTCAGGGCTCTTTGAGTTATGTTTTTAACACATATATATTGAATACTTATTGTGTGCCAAACTCTAGGTAAGGCGACTGGAACACAACAGTGAATAAGACATACATGGTCCCTACCTTTGTTAAACTTAGTCTAATGAGAGTCATATAAAAAATAAGCAAATATATAAGTGAATAAAATTACTTCTTCCAGAAAGGGCTACTGATAGGATATTGAAAAGGAGAATAATGGGTAAGGAGGACTACTTTAGGTTTATAATGAATTACTTAAAATAACGCTAATTATTTAATGAGATAAACCCCAGATTATCAGTGGTTTAAGACAATAGACATTACTGCTTATATAAAGGCCAGTCAGCAGGGCTAAAAGGGGAATCTGTTTCACCTAGTTCTTCAGGGACCCAGGGTAATGGAGTCTCTGCCATCTTTAACACATGGCTTCCATGGTGTGTTGGATAGCTGGCAGAGAGAGGAAGAGAGTAGATCTTGCCTGGGAAGTTTTCACGGTCCAGGCCTGGAAGTGGTGTACGTTACTTCTGGACATATGCCATATGGACAGAAATTAGTGCAGTAGGCCGATAATGACTGCCAAAGATATCCTTGTCCGAATCCTCAGAACCTGTGAGTGTTATCTTATTTGTGAAAAGAAGTCTTTTTGGATGTAATTAATATAAGGATCTTGAGATGAGGAGATTACCCTTGATTATCTAGATGGGCCCCAAATGCCATTACAAGTGTCCACAAAAGAGAGATGCTGAGCCCTGCCCAGTGTGGCTCAGTGGTTGGAGCGTTGGCCTGCGCACCAAAGGGTCGCAGGTTTGATTCCCCGTCAAGGGTCTACCTGGGTTGCAGGTTTGCTTCCTGCCCCCGGTTAGGGTGTGTGGGGGAAGCAGCCAGTCTATGTGTCTTTCTCACATTGATGTGTCTCTCTTCCCCGACCCCCTCCACACTCTCTGAAAAAGCAATGGAAAAAATATCCTCGGGTGAGGATTACCAAAAAAAGAGAGATGAGGAGGGAGACAGACAGAACCGCTTTCTTCTGTACCACACAGACATTAAATTGGTCTGTAATGGATGTATCTTGTCAACTTGATAAAATTTCTCACTTGGAAATTTTTTCTGAATACCTATTATGGTAAGTGTTATGCTGAACTCTAAATAAGCACAGGCAAATAAGCCACAGTCTCTGCCCTCAAGAAGCATAGATTTCAGGACAAGGGCGATGTATATTCTTTATCTTGTATGCTGGAAACATAGTTGGACATTCAAGTAAGGTGATAGTTAAATATTTTGTTGATAGCTGCTATACATCTGACTTAAAATAATTGAGACCTTATTTTGCCAAATTTGTCTTCTTAGCTGCCCAAGGAGTTCCACTTCAAAGTGTAAATTACTGGTTTGGTGTTCCAGGACTGTATGTCATTTCTGGGCAGGGGACTGTGATGCGCAACCAAGAGAGGCCTTGTCAAGGTAAAGTATAGCAGAGAGGTTCTTCCTGGGAGGTGAAAAAGTATGCGAGGGGCTCAAAGATCTATATTCACTGTTAGCTTGCCTCCAACTCTGCTGCAGGAGAAGCATCAGAGGTTTGGGGGTTGGAAAATGGTTGAGTCCATGACCTCATTTCCAGACTGAAACTCAGTGGCAAGTCAGCAAGTTTCAGGCTTACTTTTAATTATAATGTACAGATATGGAAGAATACTTGGGCAACTCCCATTATTGGGAATAGTCATTTCCTGCTTTTAGCCTGAGCAGAAAACATAAGATCTTGTTTGCTTCCCCCTTCCCATTTCACACAAGCATAGCCATTAAGCTTGTACCGTGCCCTTCAATATGACTAAGGACTCCAGTCCTAGGCTTATGCCCTGTGCCCTTTAACAGTTGTGCCTGTCCACAGCTGCTGAGTCACGTTCCTGGGAGGTGATCACTGATTCTCAGATGTTGTCCACTGCTTACAAAGGGTCTCCTAATAGGCTGCCAACAGACCCCAAAATGTGGGTTCTTTCTTGGGTTCTTCTTGGAGCATGACGTGTATGTCCATTGGCTTTTAGCTTTGTATACAACTGAAGGATACTTATTTGTAATCTTAATATTTACCTTAGTTTTAAAAGGTTATTAAAATGTAATACTCAAGCCCTAGCAGGTTTGGCTCAGTGCTTAGAGCATTGGCCTGTGGACTGAAGGGTCTTGGGTTCTATTCCCAGTCAAGGGTGCATACCTCAGTTGCAGGCTCAATCCCCGGCCCTGATCAGGGCATGTGCGGGAGACACCCAATTGATGTGTCTCTCTCACATCGATGTTTCTCTCCCCCCCTTCCTCCCTCCCTCCCTCTCTCCCTTCTAGTCTCTCTGAAAAGCAATGGAAAAAATATCCTCAGGTGAGGATTAAAAAAAAGTAATACTCAAAATCTGAAAGTGTTGCTAACATTTCATAAAATTTTTTTTATTGAGTTGAAATTTACATAAGAAACAACCATTTGAAAATGTACGTATTTGATGGTATTTAGTATATTCACAATGTGGTGCAACCATAAGCTCTCCCTAGTTTCGAAATTTTTCATCACCCAATAAAACACCTCATAATTCCCCACTAAGTAGTAATTCCCCACTGTCCCCTCCCAACATCTCTTGGTATCTCTAATCTGCCATTTGTCTCTGGATTTGCTTATCCTGAATATAACACTTAAGAGGAATCATACAGCATGTGACCTTTTATGTGTGGTTTATCTCACCTAGCATAATGTTTTTGAGGTTCACCCAAGTTTTAGCATGTATCAGTACTTTATTATTTTTGTGGCGGACTACTATTTCACTGTGCTTATGTACCACAGCCTGTTCATTCATTCATCCATTGATGGACATTTCACTTGTTTTCATCTTTTGGCTGTTACAAATACTAGCTGCTATAAACATTTGTATGTAGGTTTCTGTGTGGGTGTAAGTTGCATTTCTCTTGGTTATCTACGTAGGATTGGAATTACTGGGCCATATTGTAATTCAGTGTTTAATTTTTATTTATTTTTTTTGTTAATCCTCACTCAAGGATATTTTTTCCATTGATCTTTAGAGAGAGTTGACGAGAGGAAGAGAGGGGGAGAGAGAGAGAGAGACATCAATGTGAGAGAGACACATTGATTGGTTGCCTCCTGCATGCTCCCCAACCAGGGCTGGGAATTCAACCTGCACCCCAGGTACGTGCCCTTGACCAGGACTCGAACCTTGACCCGTTGGTTCGAGGGCTGACACTACAACCACTGAGCCCACAACCTGACTGGGAATCAAACCTGTGACCTCCTGGTTCATAGGTTGATGCTCAGTCACTGAGCCACTCTAGCCAGGCTGGAATTTTCTTAATTTCCATTTTGGATTGTTTATTGCCGGAATTATGGATTTTAAATTAGACTCTTCATTTTCAGGTAAATGTAGATTTACATAAAGTTTTATATATATAATACAGAGAGATCTCTTATACCTTTTACTCAGTTCCTCCCACTGGTAACATCTTGCAGAATTATAGTACAATATCACAACCAGAATATTGACATTGGTACAATGAAATTGCAGAACATTTTCATCACTACAAGGATGCCTCGTGTTGTCTTTTTATAGCTACACTTTTCTACTTCCCTTCCACAGCCGCCGCCTCCTTAATCCATGACAGCCACTAACCTGTTCTTCATTTCTATAATTTTGCCATTTCAAGAATGTCATATAAATGGAATCATACAGTATTTAAGTTTTGGGGATAGACTTTTTTTTTTAAACCACTTTTTTTTTTAGTATTTTTTTAATTGATTTTTTTAGAGAGGAGGGAGAGAGAGAGAATCATTGATGACAGAGAAACATCAGTTGGCTGCCTCCTGCACACCCCCTACTGGGGATTGAGCCTGAAACCTGGGCATGTGCCCTGACCGGAATCAAACCAGTGACTTCTTGGTGCACGGGACAATGCTCAGTGCACTGAGCCTAGAACTCTTCTTTGTTGGGAAATTTTTGATTACTGATTCAACCTCCTTATTAGGTCTATTCAGATTTTCTATTTCTTCATGATTTAGTCTTAGTAGGTTTTGTGTTTCTAGGAATTTTTCCATTTAATCTAGGTTATCTAATTTGTTGGTTTACAGTTTTTCATAGTACTGTGTTATAATCCTTTTTATGTTTGTAGAATCAGTAGTAATGTTCTCCTTTCATTTCTGATTTTAATAATTTGAGTTTTCTTTTTTTCTTGGTCAGTCTAGATAAGTTTTTTCAATTTTGTTGCTTTTTCCAAGGACAACTTTTGGTTTCATTAATTTTATCTATTGTTTTCCTATTATCTATTTCATTTATCTGTGCTCTAATTTTTTAAAAATATGTTTTTAGCCCGGCCGGGCGTGGCTCAGAGGTTAAGCGTCGACCTAGGATCCAGGCGATCGGGGTTCAATCCCCGGTCAGGGCACATGCCCGGGTTGCGGGCTCAACCAATGACTCTCTCATCATTGATGTTTCTATCTCTCTCCCTCTCCTTTCCTCTCTCTGAAATCAGTAAAGATATATTTTTTAAAAAATAAAAAATAAAGAAATAAAAATATGTTTTTATTGATTTTAGTGAGAAAGGGAGAGGGAAAGAGAGGGAAACATGAATGTGAGAAACATTGATCGGCTGCCTCCCAAACACACCCTGACTGGGGCATGTTCCTGGACCAGGAATCAAACCCGCAGTACATGGGACAACACTCAACCAACTGAGCCACACCAATCAGGGCTATCTGTGCTCCAATTTCTCTTATTTCTTTTCTTCTGCTGGCTTTGGGTTTAGTTTGTTCTTTTTCTAGTTCCTTAAGTTGTTAAATTAGGCTGTTGATTTGAGATTTTTTTTAAAGGTGATATTTTGTTTTTCCTTTTTTTTAATTTAATTTTTTTATTTATTGATTTGAGAGAGAGAGAGAAAGAAAAAAAAGAGCGAGAGTTTGTTCTACTTATTTATATATTCATTGGTTGATTCCCGTATGTGCCCTGACCAGGGACTGAACCTGCAACCTTGGCGTATCACAATAATGTTCTAACCAACTGAGTTACCTGGCCAGGGCTTGTGTTTGATTTTTAATGTAGACATTTACAGCGATAAATTTCCACCTTAGCACTTTTGCTGCATCCTATAAATTTTGGTATGTTGTGTTTTCATTTTCATTTGACTCTAAGTATTATCTCATTTCCTTGTGATTTCTTCTTTAATCTATTAGTTGTTTTAAGAGTATGTGAATTTTCACAAATTTGTGAATTTTCCAGTTTTACTTCTGTTGATTCATAACTTTATCCTATTGTGGTTGGAGAAGATACTTGGTAGGATATCTATCTTTTTATAGCTATTGAGACTTAACTTGTAGACCAAAATATGGTCTGTTTTGGAAAATGTCCCATGTGCAATTGACAAGAATGTGTATTCTGATGTTTTTAGGTAGATTATCCTATATATGTCTGTTAGATACAGTTGGTTTGTTATGTTTTTTAAGTCCTCTATTTTCTTACTATCATCTGTCTCGTTTTTCTGTCCATTATTGTAAATGTAGGATATTGAAACCTCCAACTATTAAGGTGGAACTATTTCTTCCTTAATTTCTGTCAGTTTTGCTTCATATACTTTGATGGTCTGTCAGTGTGTAAATGTTTATAATTGTTTTATCTTTTTGCTATATTGCACATTTTAATAATATGTAATTTCCTTCTTAGTCTTTGTTAATTTTTTAAAAATTAAAGTCTATTTTGCCTGATATTAGTATAGCTATTTTCCTCTCTTTTGGTTGCTATTTGCATGGAATATCTTTTTTTATTACCTTTTTTTTTTAAGTAAATATTTTTATTTTGTCTTTTTCCCATTCTTTTGCTTTCAATCTATTTGTGTCTTTGTATCTAAGGTAAGTCTCTTATTAAGTCCCAGTGAGGCTCAGTTGGTTGAGCGTCGTTCTTGCACTGAAAGGTCACTGGTTTGATTGCCAGTCAGGTCACATGCCTGGGTTGCAGGCTTGATCCCCAGTCAGGGTGAGTGCTGGACGCAATTGATGTTTCTCTTTCACATCAATATTTCTCTCACTTTTTCTCTAAAAAAATCAATGAAAATGTCCTCAGGTGAGAATTTTAAAAAGTATTAAAAAATTGTACAGTTATAATCGTGATTACATAAATATTAACAGGTATTCTACAAAGAAATACATTAAAATATTAAGTTTTTGTATTTGATGATTGCATTATAGATGATTTTTAAAAATTTGTCTTTTTTCTATTTTCCAAATACATATTACTTCTTAAACAAATATTACTTTTTTCATAATCAAAACAAACTTTGTCACGTAAAACATGTATCTCTCTATACACAGCTATAAGTAATGCAGAGATATAACTGTAGGGTTGTTTTCATGTTAATTTGAATCCCTCCACTACAGGAAATAATAAAGCCTTCAGCTGGTGGTGGCTGAAGGATCTGGCTTTACCATTATTCTGCCTGATTCCCTTCCTGTGTTAGTTTGCTTCAGCATAATTTTCTTTCCTTCTCAGCTTACCCAGTTGTTGTCCATGGGCCCCAACCTGTGAGACATGGAGCCCCACCAGGGACATATGGAACCCCTCCCCCAGGATATGGAGCCCCTCCCCCAGGATACGGAGTTCCACCAGTGGGATATGGAGTCCCACTGGTGGGATATGGAGTCCCACCAGTGGGATATGGAGTCCCACCAGTGGGATACGAAGCCCTGCCAGAGGGACATGGAGCCCCACCAGAGGGATCTGAAGCCCCACCCATGGGATGCAGAGCCCCACCAGCTGGAAACGAAGCTCTGCCTGTGGGATATGGACCCCCACCAAATGAAGCCCTACCTCCGGGATATGACGTTTCACCTGCTAGAAATAGAGCTGGGTTTCACAATTCTGTGGCAGCCCAGCCGGCTAGATATGAGACTTCTCTTCCTTCTACCTCATCTTCTCAGGCCCATTCACCACCTTCTAAGCAGTAAACCCTGAAGACTCACCAAGCAAAGTGGCACCCTGAAACTGCAGTCAGGATAAGAAGGACGACTCAGGTATGTGTTTTAAAGGCCTTTCTCAAGTAGTTGCCCAACCCTTTGGAAGGGTAATCTTAGGGGGAAAGTGAAACTTTACTTCTATGCCTAGATTTTAGAAGCAGAGTCAACTCTTGATAAGATGGGCTACAGGAGAAATAGACTTGTAGGGCTGATTTTCCAATAATTTGGTTGACTTTGGGTTGCATTTTTAAAAACTATGTTTTTATTGATTTTAGAGATAGAAGAAGGGAGAGGGAAAGAGAGGGAGAAACATTGATTGGTTGCTTCCCATACCCACCCTGACTGAAGGTCAAACCTGCAACCTGGGTATGTGCCATGGAGTTGAACAAGTGACCTTTTGGTGCACAGGACCATGCTCTACCAACTGAGCTACTCCAGCCAGGGTTGGGTTCCATTTTTTAAAAATATATCTTGAATATGGCTATAGAAAAAGCTTTCTGCTCTTCTCCCCTCCCCATCCAAGAAAAATTTATTATGCTCAGTTTTCTAGACACTAATATATGCGTTAGAAATATCAAGTTGAATACTTATTTTTCACAGCATTTTTTATATTAATGAAAGGATGGAACAACCTAAATTTCTAATAGAGATAATTTCATAAATTATGGCATACCCATACAGTGGAATATATTATGCAGCCATTGAAAATGATGTCTATCGGTAGAAAAGCCTTCTTTAAGAAGACCAAAACCAATGAAGCAATAAAGGAAAACATAAATAAAATAAATATAAATTTGACTATATTGAAAAGATAGGCAACAGACTAAGAGAAAGTAATTTCCAATATATATAATAAACAAATAACTTTTAGTTAGAATATATGAACTTCTACAAATCAACCCAAAAGAAAAATATACAAAAGATAATTAATACCCTATTAACTGAGGCAGTAGAGTGGCTGGCCAAGAAACATTTGAAAAGATGTTCATTCGACTCAACTAGTGTTAGGGAAGTGCAAGTTGAAATGAGAAACACTTTTTATTTCCAGAGATTTACAGATATTAAAAAGATTGAAAACCTCAAGTGTTGGGAAAGATGTGGGGTAACAGTTAATGCTATAAACTGCTGGAAGGAGTTATGTTGGTGTGCCTTTTTAGAAAGAAATTCAGCAGTACCTTTTGTTATTTTTAAAAATATATTTTTAATCCTCATCCAAGGATATATTTTTATTGATTTTAGAGCAAGAGGAAGAAGGAGGGAGGGGGAGAGAGAGAAACATCTATGTGAGAGAGAAACATCGATCAGTTGCCTCCTATAGGATCAAACATACAACCTAGTTATGTGCACTGACCGGGAATCAAACTCGCAACCTTTTGGTGTACAGGACAATGCTACAACTGACTGGGCCACCCATCCAGGGCCAGCAGTACTTTTTAGAAGTTAAAATGAGTTTGACCACAGTGAGCTGGCAGGCAGGTGAGCCTCCCCCTCCCCCACTCAGCCTCACCAACTCTGCAGCTGAGAGCAAAGTTTGCAAAGAGTCATGGGAGGCAGCGGCCAGGGTGAGGCCCATGGGAAAGATGCCATCTGGGGTAGGGGTGCTGCTGCTGCCCGCTACGGGGCCAGCCCAGTTACACGGAGAGAAGGGTATCTCCATCCTGGACCACGGCTCCTGCTGGCCCATCTCCATCCTGCTGTGCATGAACATCTCCTACAATCAGACCATCATGCTCAACCTTCTGGGCCATACTAACCAGGAGGACTTGGGCCTGGACGTGCACCAGTTCTACCCATTGGTGAAAGGGCAGTGATCGCCTGAACTGCGCTTCTTCTTGTGCTCCATATACGCATCCACATGTACCGTGCTGGAGCAGGCCATGCCGCCGTGCCGTTCCATCAGGGCTGTGAGGCGCTCATGAACAAGTTCAGTTTCCAGTGGCTCGAGTGTCTGCACTGCATGCGCTTCCCACTATATGCCATGCTGGACCACCTGTTGCACTGCTCGCGCGCCCTCAAGATGCCGTCCTATCTCAGCTACAAGTTCCTGGGTGAGCATGACTGCGTGGCGCCCTGTGAGCTGGCAGGGCCCGATGGCTCCGTGTTCTTCTCGCAAAAGGAGATGAGATTTGCCTGCCTCTGCATCCTCACCTGGTCGCTGCTGTGCTGTGCCTCCACTTTCTTCACTGTCACTACGTACGTACCTGGTGGACATGCAGCTCTTCTGCTACACGGAGCGGCCCATCATCTTTCTATGTTTTTTTTTTTTAAATGATTCTTTTTTTTTTTTTTTCTTAATGTATCTTTATTGATTTCAGAGAGAGGGAAGGAGAGGGGGAGAGAGAAAGATAGAAACATCAATGATGAGAGAGTCATTGATCGAGCCCACAACCCGGGCATGTGCCCTGACCGGGAATCGAACCCTGATCGCCTGGATCCCAAGTCGACGCTCAACCGTTGAGCCACGCCCGGCCGGGCACGGCCCATCATCTTTCTGTCTGGCTGCTACACAATGGTATTGGTGGCCTATATCACAGGTTCATGCTCCAGGAGTGTGTAGTGTGCAATGAGCACTTCTCCGACAATGGCTACCACACGGTGGTGCAGGGCACCAAGAAGGAGGGCTGCACCATCCTCTTCATGATGTTCTACTTCTTCAGCATGGCCAGTTCCATCTGGTGGGTCATCCTGTCGCTCACCTGATTCCTGGCGGCAGGTATGAAGTGTGGGACCATAAGGCTATCGAGGCCAACTTGCAGTACTTTCACCTGACCACATGGGCTGTGCTGGTGGTGAAGACAATCACTATCCTGACTATGGGCCAGATTAACGGCAACCTGCTGAGCGGTGTGTGCTTCGTAGGCTTCAATAGCCTGGACCCTCACAGGGCTTTGTGCTGGCACCGTTCTTTGAGTACCTGTTCATAGGCACGTCCTTCCTTCTGTATGGTTTCATGTCACTCTTACGCATCGATACCATCATGAAGCACGACAGCACCAAGACGGAGAAGCTGGAGCAGCTCATGGTGCACAACGGTGTCTTCGTGCTTTACATAGTGCCCTCCACCATAGTCATCATCTGCTACTTCTATAAGCAGGCCTTCCAAGAGCACTGGGAGCGCTGGTGGGTGAGCCAGCACTGCAAGAGCCTGGCCACCCATCCAGTGCCCAGCGTGCTACACGCTGCACATGTTGCCTGACTTCACCGTCTACATGGTCAAATACCTCATTACACTCATCTCCGTGGGCATCATGCCAGGCTTCTGGATCTGGTGCAGCAAGATGCTGCACTCGTGGAGGAAGTTCTACACTCGTCTCACCAACAGCTGAGACCACCGTGTGAGGGGCTGTTCCCAGACCGGCCCACACTATGATTTCCTCCTGGGGGGGGGAGGGTGCTCCTACAGACTCCTTATTTTATTTTTTTAAATAAAGAACAATTAAAAAAACCCAAAAACTAAAATGTATCTACTCTTGATATAGTGGTTAGACTTCTCAGTATTTATTCCTGAGAAGTACTTGCATGTATGCACAAAGATGTATGTGGGGAGATTTCATTACATTCATTGTTTCTAACAGCACAAAATTAGAAATAACCTGTAGATTTATTAATAGTAAATATTTAAATGAACTATGGGAAATCCATGCTACATATGCAAAAACTTCTAAGTCTTATTGTTAAATGAGAAAAGCAAGTTTTAGGGAGTATATGCTACAGAGATTTTCCATCCTATCAGACTGAATGCCCCCTTTTATATTTTACAATGTTTCCTTCAGTGGAATGAAATTTGCAGGCAATTGCATGTGGTTCCACATCATTTCAACCAAAATCAATATAATACTATAACTGTGATACAAAGAAGAAATAATAGGCCCTGGCCAGTGTGGCTCAGTTGGTTGAGTGTCATCCCATGCACCAAAAGGTCACCAGTTAGATTACCAGTCAGGGCACATGCCCAGGTTGTGGGTTCCATCTCTGCTTGAGTGCATACGAGAGGCAACTGATCGATGTTTCTCACATCATTTTCTACCCCCCTCTCTAAAATAAATTTTAAAAATAAGTAATAGAAAAGTAGTTCGTAGTAAAATTTTAAGTATTTTAATATATAAATTCTCAGATTCCACCATACTAGAATACATAATGAAGTAATCAAGTGATAACAGGGTTGCCTCTGGGCTGGGGAGCTGCATGGCTGGGGAAAAGAATGGAGAGGGAGACTTAGTTTTTTCAATGAAAATTGTATTAAGTGCATGTGTACTATATGTTTCTATCTTGAGAAATGAGTAATTTTAAAACTAAATTAATAGCATGTGAGGCTCTGTCTTGCTTATAAATTGTGCAGTGGCTCCTCACAGCCTTCAGGATAAAGTCCAAACTCCTGATTTTCAAATATACGTGGATTGTGTTATACTCCTTCAAGGCCCTGCACAGTCTGGCCCCTCCAGGGATCTCTCCAGCTGTGGGATCCAGCCGAGCAGAACTAAATGCAGACACTGAACTGCATGGCCTCTGCCTTCCTCCTCACTGCATTCTCATCTTTCAAAACAGCACAGAAGTTCTTCTAAGAAGTTTGTTCTAAACTCCCTGTCTAGGGTAATTGCCCTTTTGCCAAGCTTGTACCCTCAGCATGTTTCTGGCAAAATACTGTGCCAGTCTGCCATGGCCAGGTGGCTCAGTTGGTTGGAGTGTCATCCCCTACACCAGTAGGTTGTGGGTTCGAAACCTGCTCAGGGTACATACCTAGGTTGTGGGTTTAATCCCCGGTTGGGGTGCATATGGGAGGCAATCAGTTGATGTTTCTCTCATCTGTGTTTCCTTCTCTCTCCCTTCCTCTCTCTCTAAAATCAATAAAAACATATCCTTGGGTGAGGATTAAAAATATATATACAGTGCCAACCCTGTTGGGATTGTTTGCATGCTCATCTCCCCTCTGTGAGCTCCTTGAAAGCAGAGGCTGTATCCCATCGCAGGGGCCTAGTGGGAGGCAAGGGAAA